CCCAGCCAGAGCCGCAGGYTGGATGCTCTGCACGAGCCCCAGCGACACCTTTAATGGAATCACCTTCAGCACAGATCAATCCTTGTTTCCTTGCTATTTCCCTCCCTATTTTCACCTTCCTGGGTTTACCAGCCACCTGCCAACCAGCAAAACCCACCCTGTGTCCGTGAGCAAGTGGCTGAGGAAAGGAAATTCCACGAAAGTCACACAAACATCCCGGCGACAGAACATGTGGCTCCCCAGGGCCTGGCTTGGACGAACTGTGCAGCAGCAAAACAGAGCTCACAGCAGCAGCACCACGGCAAAAATATAGGAAGCAAAATGTTCCAGGAAGCAGGAGCGGCAGCGCGGTRGCCAGCACAGGGACAGGCGAGCTGGGGATACTCGGAAAAACGACAATTACATCAGAACATGAGTTTGGTTTCTGAGTGTGCTGMGGAGCCGGGAAGGATCATCCCCCCGGGGCCGCGCTGGCCTCGGTTCACGGCCGGGTCCTGCGGCTCCGAGCGGTGACACGGGACTGGAAGTGCCATTGGTGTGGGTCCCATCTGGCACACGCCGACCCTGCAGCTCTCCCGGGCTGTGGAGAGGAGCACATCCCGCACAAACTCCTCATCATCGCCATAAACACACTGCACATCCCACCAAGGGCTCATCCCCTCCGCAGCAGCCGGGCGTTCCCTGGCTCTGGAGCAAGCACACACGTGGAGCCAAGCCCGCTCCCCAGCCCAGCCCAGCCCTCCTGGCTCCCTAATTCCTGCTTTTCTCCCCCAGGACTGGTCACTGGACAGGGACCCTCTCCCAGGCTCCTTACCGTGCTTCCAAAGAACCAGCGTGGGCTGTTTCCCAGCAGTGCTGGTGAGCAGCAGGGACTTTTAGGACCCCAAATCCTGCCCTGGCTGCTCCCMTGGGATGGGAGAAAGAGCAAATGGCCAGAGGAAGAGGGAAGCAGCTGGGTTGGGAAGGGAAGGGAGGCTTTAGCCATAGTTCTTGCTTGTCCCCTTGAGGAAAAGCATYTGATTAAATCAAGATGCAGCATCCAGGGTTGCTATTCATTCCCTATATTATTAGCTTGTCTCATTTTATTAAATCTCTTTAAGGCTTTGCAGAAGAAGCACGTAATTCCCAACATATAATTTTTCCCAGATGAGATATGATGCAGAAGCTGCTCCTTCTCTGGGGATCGGGGGGTGGCTTTATTTGTTTCCTCCCCCCACTCCCAGCTCCTTCAGCAACACTTTTCATGTCTCTTGATTCCTTTTAGCACTTGGGATTTGATTAAGAGTATCTGAAAGCCTGAGATWTGTCTCAAATCCCTGGTTCCTGGATTTTTCCAGGCAAAGGGGTGGTAAAAGGTATCCCTCAGAGACACCATCCCTGTGCCCAGTGTGAGCAGCTCTGAGGCAGAAGCACCCTGGAAATCCCGTGCTCCCAGTTTCCATCTCCTTTCACCCCATCCACTCAGATGCAGCAGCATCCTGCCAGCACAAACGAAGCTGTCTCCGTGTCCTGGATGTGTCCCCAAACTCCAGAACCTTCTGCTCCCTTCCAAAGAGCACTGAGCTTCTCTGGGATTAGAGAGAAACGTCACCTGTAACTGGAGAGAGGCAGCTTGGAACGGGGCTTGGAACACAAGGCACGGGGGAGAGGGAGGATTGGTGACCCCGTGCAGGCATCGCTGCGGATTTCAGGAAGGTTCCCATGGAAATGGCGATGGCTGGCAGGGTTTTGGGACAGAAATTAAAGCCCAAGAGGAGGCAGGGAGCCAGGTGGGCAGTGCCAGGCAGGAGCTGGCAGAGGGAAGGAAGGGTGGTGGTGCTGAGGGCTCGGAGCCTGGAGATGTTTCCTGTCAGGTCCCACATCTGCTCTTGTGGGTCTGGAGGGGCTGAGGCAGAGCAGGGAGGGAGAGATTGGGATTTGGGGGGGTTGAGCTGGGCAAAGGCTGAGCCAGTGCCCAAATCCGCATCCCTGGGGGCTCCCATCCCAGCAGAACCGCAGGCAGAGCCCGGCCCCGACGTCTTCCCAGGACTCCGGTGGCTCTGAGACCTCCTGCGACCCCGGCTGGGAGAGGAGCCGCGCTCCGTAAACAGCTCCTCCGCGAAGAAAGCGCGACATGGAAAAAGCAGCGCATTCCTACCATTTTTGTCCTTTGAAATAGGATCCGAGGAGGATGCGGCTCACCGGGCCGTCCCGGGGCAGTTTCGGAGTGTGAAAATTAAAGAAAACAGCCTCGTAACTTGTCCTCTGCATCATGGCGGGAGCTCCGTGCGTAAAGACCCCCGGGGCGAGGGTGGGAATGGGCTGGGTTGGATGGAGCCTTCCCCACCCCATCTCTGATGGGGGTGATGCCATGGACAGGGGGACAGTGGGAATGGGACGCTGCTGCTGCTGCTCTCGTGGCACTGGGGGGAATTTAAAAGCTTTCCCTGGACACCCGTGAGTCGGGAACTGCCTGTATCCCAAATCCCTGAGCATGGGCCGGTCAGCAGAGCCCACACAGCTCAGCCCCGGGATCCCCCACCCTCCCCAGGCATTTGTTTGGGCTCCAGCACTGGGCGTTTCCCACCTGGGAATATTTTCCCACCAGGGCGTTTTTCTCATTGCTTTGTGACCATTTAAAGTCCAGATTGTTTTCCCTACACAGCAGGGATAGAACAGCCCCATTTGTTCCCCTGTAAAGATAAATTGTTGTGTCCCCTGTCCACCTTCTCTGGATTAAGAGACCCCCAAACTGCTCCCAAAACTCATCTTTGCTTTTACATCAAATCCCAACCTCTGGCAAAAAAAAAAGCCAAGGTTCTGCCTGGGCAGTGGGATGAATTTGGGAACCCCCAGCAGAACCCTGAGCCCCCCACATCCATCCATCTTCCCAAAAAGCCAAAGTGCAGCCTCAGCAAGCGGGAACGGAGAATTCCCAGTGCTGCCAGCGCCGCACGTGCTGCCCCGATTGCACCACGTGTTTGTTCTGTGTGTGTTTGCCACGTAAGGGCCGGTGGCCGTCCCTCCCCCGGGACAAAAGCAAACACAGGCATGGGGTTATGGGCGGTCACAAGCCAGGGAAGGGCCTTTGGGATGTGTCCCTGCTTCTGGATGTCACCACCGTCAGGGAAATGCAGCCTCCATCTCCTGAAGTGTTCCTGGATAAAGCATCCTGCGAGCGTGGAGCTGGCCCTGCGTCCCTGYTGCTGGGGTGTTTATTGTACAGATGATCCCCTCATCCCAAGGAATTACTGATCCCAAGAAATTATCACGTGCAGCTTCATGGAAGGGAGATATGGGGGAGAGCCACCACGCAGACAAAACCCCCCTGAGGGTGGGCACAGAGGTTGTGTGGTGGGATGGGGAGATCTGAGGCACCACAGAGCGATGGCCTTGGTGACCCAGCTGYCCCTGCCAGGTAGGAGTTGAGATTTAACTTGTTTCTCCTTTGCTGGTGTTTGCTCTGGAGAAATATCCCAAACTTCAAGGGAAGCGTTATCTGTGGCGTCAGCACACGGCATCACGTGAGGCAATTCCCAAGGCTGCAAACAACCCCCCTGCCAAGCTCCAGTGGGCCCAGCGAGCCCCACACTGCATTTTGAAGGCATGAAGTTATGAAAAGGACCCCATGACCCCATTTCCAGGGACCTCATTTGGTCCTTGATGTCTCTGCAAGAGCAGCAGAGATGCACCCTGCAACCGGCTGCTCCTGGTGGTCCCACAGTGCAGATCTCTCTTTTAGAAGCATCAGGACTCACGTTCTGACCTGAGGGCCACAAGATCCATCTCTGCATCCATTCAAGACATGTCCCAGCTGCCGCCAGGGAGAGGGGAAACAGCTGCGACACCCCCAGCACTTTGTGCTCAGCCTGAAGGTTTCACCCTCTCCCTGTGTAATCTCAAATTCTTGGAAATATTAGGCAATTGGAAATGAGTAACTTTTTTTTTCCCCCCTTATAATCAAGGAGAGGCCCTCTATCCCTTGTTGTTAAATATCATAAAACAACAAAAAGAATGGTGTGTCTTTGTGTTTCCCTCCCTGCAGCCCCCAGGAACAGCACAGCAYCACCTGGGACCTGTCCTGGCCAGGGCCACCCCCTGCCCCAGACCCCCTGAGAAAGGCTGGAACATCACCTTCCAGCTCCTCAGATTTGCTTTAGGGAACAGAGCAGACACTTCTGAAACATCAAACTCCAACTTTCCGGCAGCCAGAACCAGTTGTGCAAAGGCAGTGATGACTTTAATCCACGCTGGCTGCAGCGGGAAGAGCTACTAAAACCTGAGATGTGCCTGGCACAGCCCCAGAAAAAAGCCTTGTGCAATGCAAAGCTGCCACAGAATGGCTGGGGATGGAAAGGGCTGGAAATGGCAGATCAAGGGGGAAGGAACCCGTGAAGCCAGAGCCAGCACAATCCCAGACCCACAAATCCCTCTGCTCATGGGATGCTGCGGGCGTGGGATGGGAAGCAGCTCCACTGCTGGGGTTTATGGTGACAGACAAAGGTTTGAGGAGGCTGATATTGGCTGGGGAGGTGAATGGTACAACTGGGGAACCTTCTGGCCTTGCAGGAGGGACTGGGAAAGGCACACATGGTCCCCAGGCCGGGAATGAGACAGTACAAAAACAGCCCTCGCTGTGCTCTCATTAGGAATAATTCTTCCCGAAAGAGCACGTGCCTGTTCAGTAAATACTGATTTAACTTATCAACAAATCCAAGTTTATTGACATCAGAGACTTTGAGCCAGGACTGGCAACTCTGACATAAATTGTCTGAATAATGCAATGTATCCTCTCCCTCGATGGTTGCTATGGGTACTGGGCCGGTTTAGCCTCCATCTATAAACATTAGCTGTGAAGGGGATGTGGAAACTTATCTAAAAATAAAATACTATGCCCAAATCTTTGAGGGGAAGGTGGCTGAGATGGCAATAAAAAAATAAATCTGTGTGTAATGGTTCTAAAGTGATGAAACACAAACACGGGCATTCGTGAGCCCTTCCGGAGGAAATGGAGGCCGGGCTGAAAAGAGACCAACACGTTTAATTCCTGCTGAGCGATGCCCGGAGGGTGAATTAATTACAGCGTGCAAAAGCAAAAGGAAATGGAACCGTTTCATGGAGGTGACACTGAGAAGAGGGAGGACCCTCTGTGGAGGGGATGATGTGATGCTGAGGTGTGGCTGTGCCATCCAGTGCCAGCAGCGCAGCTCCCTTCTTCAGCACCTGCTTGCTTGGTCACTCACAGTTTATTTCTCAAATTGTTCTGGGAATCTGTAAAAACAGAGCCTGGGACTGGAGCATCACCTCTGGAATCTTTCTGATCAGTGCAGGATCCAGCACTGGGCAGTTTTGGGACTTGTTGAGGCTGGTGGGAGGGGCGGAGGGGCAGATCCATTCCCGGCTGCTGCACAGCGTGGAGACAGAAACAAACCTTTCCTTTCCCCTCTCCCACTGGCCCTGCAGGGCAGTGAAAAACAGCTGGAAGGCACTGGGTGGTGGGAAAGGCAGCAAGACCCTAAAGTGGGCACCAGGGAAAAGGAGGGGTTGGACCATCCACATGGCCAAGGGTGGAATCCATCCAGGGCAAGGTGTGGAAAGGGATTGACTCCTCCCCTGGGTCTTCTCCATGGGGCAGCTGCCATCCCTCCACCCCCTGGGCTGTGGTTTAGGTGGTACATTCACATTTCTGYGCTTTTCAGTCACTTTTCTCGGAGCCTTTGCAATGGTGCAGATGCTGCAGGGCTCTGCACAGGTGGGAAACTGCAGCTCTGGATGGGGAGGTTCCTTTCCCAAAAAAAGAGGGGGTTGGTTGTTGGGTTTGCAGCAGGTTTTGCTGCTGTTGAGTTTGCAGCAGTTTCCCCTCTGTGTTTGAATCCTCAAGGCTCCCGAGCCCTCTCCGTTGCTGCATCCGAGTTTTTCTGCTTCCCATGGCTCTTGGGCAGCACCTCGGGATGTTCTCCAGGATCAGCTTCCAGGAGATGATCTCGAGGAGTTGGTGCTTCCACAGGCTCACAGCTCACTCATGAAAGGCCCCCGGTGCCTCCATCATCACTCTGCTTTCCCTCCAGTCCAAAGGGAATTYCTTTTTCCCTGCAGATCTCCAATAATCGGTGTGGGAGGGAGGTCCCACGCTGTGCAATTCCCGGGGGAGCATCAGGACCCGGACAGGGACCTGGGGACAGGAACCTTCATCTCCCATGGACAGTGGCAAGGAGCTGTCACCACGCTCAGGCCGTTCCTCTGGTYACTTCCAGTGCTGCAGGGAGCTCAGTCGGCTCATTAAGGGTTGCTGGGCTAATTAYTAGGATACATCTCAGTAGGAAAACGGGCAAATCGGACAGTTTGGGGCCCGGAGARGCACGAGGTAGCCGAGGCAGTGCTCTGCAAAAGGCAAAGGGACAGGAGTCCATTGGGGACCTCACCAGTGTCACAGCATCTCTGTCAGAGCAGCAGTGATGGCACTGMCAAACCCTCAGCAGTGCTGTGGGACTGTCCCAACTCTCCAACAACCAGCAGGAACTTGCACTGGGAGYTCCAGGATGGCAAAGAACCCCCTGGAAAGGAGCCTGGCCAGGAGTTGTGCTTTTGCAGAAACCTTTGGCCCCTCAAACAATCCTGGGCTGAGTTTTTAGGGTGTGCCCAGTAGCAGAAGTGTTCCTGGCTCAAGCAAGGAGCAGCTGGAGCAGGGATGCCCAATTTCCYTGAGGGATGAGCAGGCACACATGCCCTCTCACACCATCCCTGCCATTCCCTGGAGCAACTGCCACGGCCAAGAGTTGTTTTTTTCCTGCCTGATTCAGACTAAGCCGGGAGCCTCGAAGCTTCCCATCAATTTTCCCTCGCACTGATTCTCAAGTGTATAATCAAAACAATTTGGGGGCTGCTGGTCGGGTGCCAAGAGGCGGACACAACCGCTGCTGTGAAAAGCCTCTGCCTGGGAGTTTGCAGAGGTTTGGAGCTTTGAGAAGTGTGGGAAGGGCTCTGGAGGAGCCAGGGAAGGCAGGGGTGCTCACGGGTGGGGGAGCCCAGCCAAGCAGCCCCTGAAATGCCCATCAGCAAACGTACCTGGGGTTATTTGCTCTTCACCCCCTTCTGCTTCTGCCGATAGATCTCCTCTGTGAAAGGCCTGCAGATGAAAGGATGACAGTTTGGGGAGAGAGGGGGCAGAGACAAAACACAGAGGCAAAAGGAGGTAGCAAGAATTAAAATCAAGATTACTGAGTGCTCTCTTTTAGGCCCAGAAAATCTGTCCTGGCACAGCCTGACTATTCCTGCACCGTGGCAATCCTGGTTTCAGCCTCTCTGGATTGAGGAGCAGCTACAGCTGCTTCCAGCCAGGACCATCCCTGTGCCCACACCCATACTGTGCCTCTCTGCATCTCCTCCTCCCTCAAAAACACAAAAGACCTTTCACTGCTCAAGCACAACTGCTACTTCTGGGAGTTATTTTGTGCTGCTCCATCCTGTGCTCCTGGCTGGCCTATTGTGGTGCAAAACAGCAGAGAAGCCCATCCAAGGAGCTACAAAATGCAAGTGCTTCTTGTAGGGGCTCTTCTGAAGACACAATGAGTCCTCTCACTGCCTTCCTTATTGTTCTTCTAGAGGCAGAATCCGGCACCCAAATGGAAAAAAAATGATGAAAATTTAAAAATGCACAAATGTTCCTAGAACTCGGCAAATAGTTTCAGAGWGGCATCTGCCCATTACCAGAACAATTGAAAAATAATCCTCTGTTTTCCTTCTTCCCCGCGGAATTAATTGGAAAAAAACCCATCTCTATTTGTGCAGTTCTCTGAAACCTCGGGAGTTAAAGCTGGTAGAAATAATTAGAAGCTCTCCAGTTCTGCACAGCTACTCACCCCTCRTACAGCACAGCGATTGTGTAGGAAATTGCCACTACAGCTGTCAGCAAAAGGCCAGCTGGGCTGGCGTGCCTGTTTTGAAAGAGAAGGGAAAGATCAGGTAAGTACATGGGCTTATGCAAGACCTGGCTGAGAAAGTGAAATGAGACACTGGGGCTGCACAGAGCTCCCGCTCCCTCATTAAACAGAAGCGAACAAAAGGTTTGGGTTTTTTTTTTTTTTTTTTTTGTGCTTAATGTTAACTGTCTTAGACAGATGTTACTTGGCAAAGGCTCTTCCCCAGCCTACTCGGCGACTTCTTTTAAGTCTGATCCCTGCACGTCTCTGCCGTGAGAGCTCCTGCTTTGATGGTAAATCCTGAGATTATAGGGATGTTTAAAGGGCTGAGCAGCTGCTGACATATGGCTGCAGCTCCCAGCCCATGCTCTGAGGGAAATGCCTSATGTCCCAAAAAGATGGGCCACCCAGGGTACAGGGGACACCAGGCAGACAGAGCAGTGCAGGGCACCSTACACACCCAAGAGGGGGCTCAGCCCGTGCAGAGATTGGGATGGAATGGGTTGGGAAGGTCCATTCCTGCCCTGGGAAGGGTGCTGGGGTGGGTGCTCCATCAGGGCTGGGTGCTGGGGGCTTGGCTCACTTTTGCACCCATTTCAAAATGTTTCAGCAGTGGGTCTTCCAGCGAGATGTCACCAGGCATGGCACAGGGGACTGATGCCACCCACCGCTCCTCACTGCTCATGGGGAGAGATGACAAAGCTGTGGATACCATGGAGATGGCTGATCCTTTTAGGGCAAAGCATTGGGACCAAAAACCCTCATCACCTCCCGCTCTAYAGAGAGATGTCACAGAACTGTAAAATCACAGAATGGTTCTGATTGGAAAGGATCTCAAAGCTCACCTCATCCCACCCTGTGCCATGGGCAGGGACACCTTCAGCCATCCCAGCCTGCTCCAAACCCTGTCCAGCCTGGCCTTGCACATCTCCTCACCAAGRAGCCCCTAAATACTTTATTTGCTAACAGCCAGCTCTCATCCCCTTCAGAGCTGAGCTGCCACCAGCAGTTAAAGGCAATCACCAGTGTCCTARTTAAGGGGGACAATTAAGATAAGCTTTAAGGATTCTTCCAACTCAAACCATTCTGTGATTTCATAAGGATGTTTATCCTTATAAAAGGATATGCAAGGTGATTTGTRCTGCTGGGAAAACACACCTGCAAAGAGAGGTTGAACTACCTAAACCTCTCACTGAAGCCACTTTTGGGTACCACCTGGCCTCAGCAGTTCCTGGAGAGGCACCCACAAATCCCCACCTTTTCACTGTTCTCATTCTSTAATAACTCCTTCCCTCATTAGGAAGCTTCGGGTAACTTCTTTCTCTCCCAACCCCCTGCTATTACATGCTTAGTCATGTCTCCTTGATTCCTATCAGAGAGAACAAATTTACATGATTGTTTGTTGACAGCAAGACCTCTAATTGCATCATTTGGCTGCAGCTCCAGCTCTGATTTACCCAGCCTGTTGCTGTGAGTTAGAACACTTCCCTACCAGAGGYACACAAAGCTGTCCCCACGTGGTGAATGCTCCATTTGTCTTGTGGGAGAAACCAGGCTGCTCGGCACAGGTGATGAGCAGCATTTGGGTGAACTGTTCCCCTCCTCTTACGAGTTTGACCTACATTTTGGGCCACATCTCATTGTAGCAGTGATGATGAATCAGTCAGGAAGGTTTTGTTTTCCTGGCAGGACATTTTTTTGGGGTAGGAAATCTGTCTGTCCCCAGCCTTGCTGCAGCTCCCCATGGCTGTGGGTTGTCACCCCACTTGATGCTTTTAAGGCTGGAGTCAGAGGACAGCTGGTTTGTATGATGTGTTTTCATCCCTTTTGGATGAAAATGGATCAATCCTTTGGGCTCTGATGCCATGATATGGAGTRTGATGCATAAGAGAGGACAAAATGTGCCCAGTGTTTTAGTTCTGGCCGGATTCCTCCAGGATCCCTCCTGCTGCCACAGAGGCAGGACATCATCCCTGGCCTGATGGCAGACACCTGACATCTTCTGAAAGCCCTGGGACCTCCCAAAAAATCAGCCAAAAGAGAATGTCCAGAGCTGGGGATGGGTCTGGAGCACCAGGAACAGCTGGGTGAGCTGGGGGGCTCAGCCTGGAGGGAAAAGAGGTTCAGGGGGAACCTTCTCACTCTCTCCAACTCCCTGCCAGGAGAGTGGAGCCAGGGATACAAGCAGCAGGAAAAGAGGAAATGGCCCCAAGCTGCCCCACAGGAAGTTTAAGTTAGATATGGGGAAAATTTCTTCCCTGGAAGAGCTGCCCAGCCCTGGCACAGCTGCTCAGGGCAGTGGTGGAGTCCCCATCCATGGAGGACTCTAAAAACCATGTAAATGTGGCACTTGGGGACACATTTTAGTGGTGAACACGGCAGTGCTGGGTTAATGGTTGGACTCAATGATCTTAAAATTCTTTTCCAACCTGAATGACTCTGTGATTATATGAACTGAGATCCCAGGGAAGAGAAACAGCCAAAAACCACGGTGAGAAGGGCTGTGCTGAGCCTCCCCCAGGCAGGTGGGCGGTGTCTTGGTGCCACTTTGCACAGCTCCAGTAATTTGTTCACTGCAATTATTTGTCACGCCTCGCCGGCCTTAATGGTGGCAGCCTTTTAACGAGAAAAAGGAGGCAATCACTGCTGCTTGGAGCTGCTCTTSCCCAGAATTGTGGTGGAAGTTCACAGTGAGAAGGATGAAGAAGGGATTCTTCGACWGAAACAGCTCAGGAGGGTTCAGTGGATTGTGCAAAGGTTTTAGGAAATAGTTTGATGCTGATCTTAAAACAAATAAAAATATATTTTTCATTACTCCTGGTCAAATTGCTCTTTCTGTGCTGCTGTGGGGGTCATGGTGTGGTGTGRGGGGGACTCCTCCTGCCCCCAGCTCTGCCCCACTTTCCCCAGCAATATCCACGTTTCCCTGGTGCTTTTGCCAACCTTGTGGGCAGCTCTCCTGCCCGGCATTTCCTCCCTCTGCACCATTTCCTGGGATTTAAACCCCATCCAGCACCGTGGCTCTGCCAGGGACACAGCCCCACACAGGGAACCCAGACAGCACTAAAGGGGATTGCAAGGGCAGAATGAACAGCAGCAAGGCTCACTGGAGACAGGAGAGAAACCATCAGCTTTACTTATTACCAGGGGCTGCACACATGGCTGAAAAAAATGACCACAAAGTGGCAAAGCACTTCATTTTCCCACCCAAGCAGAGGAGAGGTGGTCACAGTCAGGAGCACCAGTGCAAAACACCCAGTGATAACGGCTTGCAACACTCCACAGGCTTCTGAAGTAACACAGCAAGGATTTTTGGTTGTTTTTTTTTTTTTTTCCTCCTGGGCAAATAAATAAAATGTGATATTAAATGAAAACCACATCAAACTTGTTACAGTGAATAGAGTATATTGCTCATTTGCTGCTAAATTACAGCCTATTCATTTCCTCCTAAGCAGGCTATTAAGCTCTGTTGTRTCACACGAGGAGTGTTTCGGAAGTGTTATCACCGTTCGCTGGGGGAAAGGGTGGCTTGGCTCGTTTTGCTTTTTTCAGAGTAATTGCAGGGTCACACTGCTCCCCAGCCTCAGTGCCCTGCCCCTGCAGAGTGACACCCCGCATGAATTTGGCCCGGACTGTTGATTTTTCCACGTGCACAGCCTGCCAAGGACCTGGTTCAGCCGCAGAGTGTTTGCTGATGCCTCCTCTCCACAGTGATTTATTTTTCTACGATGAACGCTGCGAGTGTCTCAAGACAGCACAAGATTTTCCACGCACAAAAATAGMCARGGAGCCAGAAGTCAGGGTTTGTGGYRCTTTCTYTGCYATCRCAGAGGGCACATCTTTTTGCCATTTTTGGTCCACAGTGCAGCCTCATTCCCTGCCAACAGACCCCACATTCCCCCTACAAACCGGAGGTGTTTATAGGGGCACGTACTCACATGAGGGACCAGCCCAGGTAGATGGCTGTGCTGCCCCAGTACATGGGATTATCCAGGACGCTGAAGGGGAAGCTGGTCACTTTTTCCTCCATCAGGATGCCAAAGTAATCACCTAAGAGCAAGCAGAGAGCTTCTGGTGAGGCTCCATGAGCCTGGGAGTCACAGGGGGGTTTGGCACACTGATACCCTCCCTGTGCCACAGGGCATCCCTGCAAAAGRGTTTCAGCACCGACTTCCAGCCTGAGAAAACATCAACAAATAAATTGGTTGTTTATTCTGTGTCTATCAGCTTTTCCAGGAAGGGCTCTTTGCCCACGAGAAAGATTCCTGCATGGCAGTGAGGTCATGGCAGCTGCATCCCTCATCAGGACGYGGCTCTCGAGGTCCCAACTGTTTAATTCTGCTTTTCTAATTTGTAAAATCGCCTGTCAGGCGCCACTCCACGAGGAAGCAAGTGCATGGGATCAAATCCRTTTAATGTGAAAATGAGCCCAGAGCCGTGTGATGGCGTTTGGAGCTGTTATAATCATGACCATCACGACCAAATGCCCTCATCCACAATGTCACCCTTATCTCATAGTTCAGAGAATTTCTCCGAATTCCAGAAAATAGCACGTCTGCCTACGAAACGCTCAGTTATCGGCACGATGACGATGATAATGGGTGATTGTCATCTGTAACGAGGAAAGCTTTCAGAACTGTCAGCATCCAASCAGCTCCCCCCATCCACCTCGCAGTAATCCTTCCCCCTCCTGAAAGGAGCTTGGAAAAGAAATGACGAGGAGATGTGCAGCTCGTGAGCAACGTTTTGTGGGGGCAAAGGGCCAGGATGCAGAACTCTGATTCTCACAAGGGGCAACATCTACACGACTTTTAAATCCCTCCAGGAGTGGTGACTCCACCACTGCCCTGGGCAGCTGTGCCAGGGCTTGGCAACCCCTTTAGTGAAGGATTTTTTCCTGACATCACATCTAAACATCCCCTGCTGCAACCTGAGGCCATTTCCTCTTGTCCTGCCCCTTTTTTCCAGCGAGCCTGACTTTCACTTGGCTGTCTCCTCCTGTCAGGGAGTTGTGCAGAGCCACAAGATCCCTCCTGAGCCCCTTTCCCAGCTCCCTCAGCTGCTCCAAACCCTTCYCCAGCTCTGCTCCCTTCTGTCCCCTGTAGGATCCATGCTCCATGTCCACTGCACAGGACAAGCAGTGACCCTGAGGAGCAGCCAGAGCACTGCCACCACCCCGGGTTGTGTTCCCAGCCCTTCTGCCAGCCCGTTCCCTGACCTTGGGCCGGTCTCCTCCGTCCCTCCCGGTGCTATTGTGCACCGATCATAACATCAGTCTTTCTTGGAGCACAGAGGGTGGTGAGGATTAATGTATGGTGAGAAAGTGCTCACAAATCCAGATGAAAGGCATTACAGGAGTGCAAACTATTCAAGGTTATTATTATTACCTGGATCGCAGTGTAATTTCTTTGACCCCACATGGTGCTAAAACATTTATTTCTAAGGATAAACAGCCCCTGCCCAATTACACAATGCTTTTGGGCTTTAACTACAGGCCACTAAGTGAGATAATTGCCTTGTATTCATACTATATGTTCTCACAGTTACTTGGCAATACATCTCTGAGATTGTTCTGGTAGGAAGAACGCRTCACCCCCCTGCCACAGCCCGTTCCTGTGCTTTCTTATGTGTCAAAATGCTTCATTATCCCCTGCCCACCCTCGCCACTGAGCACCTCACCCCCCAAATGGCACTGAGGAGGTTCACACAGAGCCCTGGCTCCATGGGGTTGGCAGGGGCTTATCTGTGCCCAGCACTGGTGGGGCTGTGGAACCCTCCAGGCAGGCTCCCCATGAGCAGGAGCACACAGGCAGCTCTCCAGGAGCTTTTCCAACGTAATCTCTGCCTCTAAACCTGCACAGGTCAATGAACATGACCACCAGAGAGGTGGTTTTGTATGTTTTTATGTTCAGAGAGGTGCTATGGGGAAGGACTGTGCCTTGTGGGTGTGCACCTGGGCATCTCCTGTGCCTTTRCTGAGCMCTCGAATCAGGAATCAGCTCCTTGYCCAGCTGAGGGACTTTGCCATCTCATCTGAGCTATTTTTTGCTGGATGGTGCAGCCATCTCACTGCACAGGGTGGGATCACACAGTAAAAAGCCATTYTGTGCACTCTGAAAGGKCYCCCAGCACCCCTGGARCCTRAGCTGGGCTRAAGCACCATCTCTGCTTCACCCCRGAGAGCYRCCAGCCTCTCCAGCCCAGTAACAGMCTTTGGTGGAGTCAGATTGACCTGAAATCTTGGTCAGTGCTGGAAGAAACGTCACTGGGGCTTGAGAGAGATAATAGGCAGAGCAGCCTCTTCATGCTCTCAGCCTTGAGAATCCAAACCCTCATCCCCRTGTTTTTGGGAAACAGCAAACAGTGAGGGTGCTGAAGTGCTGCCTGAATTCCAGTGAAGGCACCAGGGATGGCTCTGGCAGGGAGAGGGGCCGTGTCCAGCTGCTCCAACAGCACCTGGAGCTGGTGCTGCYGTGCTGGAGATGGGGTGGCACAGCCAGGCTTGCTGGAGAGGGTGACTCACAGCTCCCACTGCACCAGTTAGCCACACCAGAGAGACAAAGTGTTCTGCAGCTGCTCCAAAACCTAAATGTGCTGTAAGGAAGGAATACAACAGGCACCCTGTGCCCTGCCTGTTCAGCCCTCACTGCTGTAGGAAAACCCACAAAGGAAGGGTCAAATACAGCCCCGAAATTTTTGAAGTGCCTGTGTGTCAGATGCTCTCTGAAAACTTCTCTTGAGCTCAGATGCTGACAGTGAGAAGCTGGATGCCCCTCCTTGCCCTTYGCTGCCTGCAGTCCTTGTTCCTCCAGCAGCGCCAGTGCAGCACTAAAATCCTGCACAGATRTTGGAAGTACCAGTCCCAAGTGAGTCCTGAGCAAGGAAATATCCCCCATGAGATCCTCAGAGACCTGCAGACCCATCGCCTTCCCCATGGCTGAGTAACAAACCACGCTGTGGGACATCTCCAGTAAGAGTCTGCTGACCTGCACTCATGGAGTGGAGAAGCCATCACCAGTGCAAGGTTGGATCCTCTGGGGGCTCCAGCTGGGCCATCCCTCAGTGTTCAGAGCTCCTGAGCCACTCTGGCTGCATTAGCACACGGTCCTGGCATGTCCCCACCCYGACTCAGCGCTGCCCTGGTGCCCAGCACGCCCTGCTGGCGGAGGAGCCGGTCCCTGCCGTGTCAGCCCAGGGCACCGGCGCAGGGAGAGCCTGCCCAGCAGAGAGGATGGAGCAGAAATGCCTTTTATGGACCACTAACACCCACCTCTTCCCTGCCTCTGGGGGACACAGATCCGAGGGACGGGGCCCTCTCACCTCTTACGCTGAGCCTGACTCACTTGTTTGCTTTTTCCCAGCGGTTCAAGTCCAGCRGATCCTCCTGGTCGGATGAATCAGGATTTACGTAAACAAGTCCAGATCTGGCTGAACTTCAGGAGCGCTCAGGCAGCTCTTGCTGACGGGTACTCCTGTGCCTGGCCTCTCTGGACATGTCTCCACGGGCACAGCATCACTCCAGGGGGMTGTGGGTGATTTTGGAGGATGCTGGTGCCCGCCAGCTGAGGGACAGGTGTGTGACAGCGAGCCAGGAGCGAGGCTGCACACGGAGGGTGAGGGCACATGTTTGGGAGTGCTGAGCTCTATTTCTGGCAGCGGGATTTTGGCCAACTCGACACATTTCTTTGCAACTCCACTTGAAACCAGGAAGGCTTATTACGTCCCTCTCTTCTTCCTAGCGACGCCACAGGAGCTAATTGAATTTGGTTTGTAAAGCACTTGCAAAAGCACAGCCTAAATGAGGTGTCAAAGCTGGGACTGTGATTATTTCAGCCAGCAGGAGCTGCCCCTTTCCTTGGATATTTATTGTTCCTGTCTCTGCTTTATTTTTATGAATTCCACACATACTGGCATGTTTTTAAAGTCAACAACACCAGCAGAATTACGCTCTAAATGTGAAAGCAGGCACAGTGGAAAATGCCTTCTGCTATAAAGYGGCAGATAAAAGGATCTGTCAACGAACATCAGGTTTATTGCAGAGGGAAGAGCAAACAACACCCTGCCTCAGCACGTGTGACAAGCAGGTGGGTGCTGGACAGCTCACACCGCAGTGCTGGTGCCACTCGTGGGGTCCTGAGCTTGGGGTCCCTTTTTCTGGAGGGTTTTTGGGATGGCAGATGCTCCAAACCTCCAGGCTCARCGCTGGAGGAGATGGGATTCGCTGTGTAAAGCCACTGTGTCCTCTCCAGGCGAGGTAACTGAGGTAACAGCCGGGCTGCATCATGCTCKGCTATCACAATGACAAATCTAACAGCCCGGAAGGCAAGGACAAAGAAATTCCTACAGGACTCTGCCCTAGCAAGAGATCCCTGTGAGGATTTCACGCAATTTCTGGGAAAGCCGTTGGATTCTCAGCGCTTACCTAGGAACGTCCCGGTGAATCCCAGTGCTAAGAAACTGGAGATGACAAACAAGGTCCCTACAGCCGAGATGGCCAAGCCTGAGTAATAGGTCCAGTGGTAGTCCCAGCCCTCCAGCCTCGGCTGGCTCTTCATGGCTTCTGTGAAGCTGTTGGAGAGACAACAAAGGCTGTTAAAAGCCAATATCAGCCAGTGGAGCTTTGGGAGAGGAACCTRCTGAGCAGGTCCCTTCTCCAGATCCCTTTTCTTACTCAACCTCCCAAAGGGAAAAGCAATCAGCTGAAGGCTGTGAGCAGGCAGGGCTTGATCTGGGGCAGCTATTCCAACTCACAACYCTCGCTCACTCCTGGAAATACCAACCCCACTGACTTGTGATATCCAGAGCTTTGCCTTATTCACCAAATCCCAGTTTTCMTCATGACTGAGAGCTCTGGGACAGACGCCCTTGCAAATGTTGGAGGCTGCRATGCCTCGGCACAGAACTCGAAGGGCTGGGAACAATTGGCTGAATTATCTCGTGCTCCCACCCCCGTTCCCTTCCATCAAAATATTTTGCAGCGTTCATGTGTTAGCCACGTGCCCAGGAGTGATTCACGGCTGGAGCCTGACAGCCAGGGGGAGGATTGGAACGGCGAGAGGAAAATACRAGAGACGAGGCGTTTTCGAGTGCGAACACAGCTCCTCCGTTCCAGGCTGGGCCAGGCATTTCGGGTCTGACCTTCTAAATACTCGATTGTGATCAGAATAACGGTGACCCCTCCCTTCAGCCCTCTGAGCTCTGCCCAGAGCAGCGCTCGGCACAGCGCACGGCTCCGACACAAACGCGCCACGGCAAAGGAGACGATGCCGTGATTAAAAAAACACCATTAATAACACCAGAGGAGATAACAGACCCGCAGAGCTCCACACAGTGTTTCTCCACATGTTGTTGACACATGAGGTAGGAAACTTGGAGCCTTTTTTTAATGAGCACCCTGGAGGCTAAAATTCAAGTGCAATAACAGCTCTCCCACGCCTCTGGCCACCACTGCCAGGGCCAGGAGAGCTGTTCCTGCCCACAAATCTGGGCTCCTCAGCTGGAAAGTGATTCCATAATGCTACCTGCAGGGCTTGGGATAGTTTTATTTCCCTGGTGGCCACCTTCCCTAAGCCCTGCTAACCCCTGGATTTTCTCTGTTGCCCAAATAAAAGCTGAGAGAGACAGTYCTGCCTGCGTGGCTGAAGGCCAGGCGGCTGGAAACACATCTTTCAAAGGCTTGATGGCAAGCTCATGCTGCAAGCAAGGCCAGGAYAATACTTAAACTCCATGGTTTAGGGACCTGGATGATATTTTTTGGTTCTCTTTGGAGTTTGTTCCTGCTAGGCTTTCTAATGTTAATGAGTTTTTATGACTCCAGAGCAAGACATTTAATCATCACTTTGGACTGGAGCTAGGAAACAAAACACGGAATTAATGTAACATGCTCAGAAGTGAGCAAAACCACAGTGTCTGGGTGATTTACACTGGAAATTACAGGGAAATTCCTTTTCCCGGGAGCCAAGCACAGACAGAGGAACAACAGCGTGGCCCCAGGCGATGCAGGCACGGTCCCCAGGGCTGGCCCTCCTCCAGTGCCCAGCACAGCTCCCTGGGCTCACCAGGCTCACTCTGGCTTAGCTTAAAATCATTTCTGATGGGAAGACKCAAATCTGGCTGCACCGTGAAGCAGCAGCAGCTGCACATCCCTTTGCATCATCTCTGTTTGTTTTTAAATGACACAAGTCTCCTCTACGAGGAAGCCAAAAAATCCTTTTCCCTGCTACCAGCACTGCTTGGGTTTGGGAGGAAAACAATCTCCCTGCAGGGATGKGCCTTTCTGCCTGAGGAATCCTGGCCTGGCTGTGCACCCAAAGCTCACCGTGACATCCCTGGGGATGCTCTGCAGCTCTTCACTCACACAGAGGAGGATGTGCCTTTCACAGTGTGAGRGTTTGGCTCCACATCCAACCAGAACCTACCCAGAGGGCAGCAGCACCAGGAAGGATTTTACAGCAATTTGCTGATCCCCAGGRAGGCAAATCTGGGACAGCAGTGTTGAGCTGGAAGCCACTTGGATCCCAGACCTKGGCAAAGAGATGGCAAAGCAGAAAGAGATACAGCAAAAGCAAAGCCCTCAGAGCTTCTTCCTTCCTGCTCTGGGTGAGCTGGATTCACACTCTCACATCTGTGGGGCTCCTCTATCTGATCCTGGTGACCTGACTCTGTCTCAAAACACAGAATAAAGGCGGCTGCAAGAGCATGAACTGCTTGGCTGGGGATGAGCACTGGAAGTTTTGCAGCCAGCACATGGTGTGGTTTGCTTTGGCAGAGCTGCCTCTCCTGCTCCAGGTGATCCCATCCTTCCTTTCCATGGTCGGATAGGCCTGCATTAGTTATTCTCATCAGCATGTCTTGCTCATTCCCTGCTGTTTGGCTTACAGCTAGAGAGGGAGGTGTTTGCACGGAGATAATGGACTGCCTTTCCCTCTAGGAATGGTTTCTATCTTCCTAAACACACTCTCTATTTGCATTAAACATGATGCGCTCAGGAGTTTTCAGAATTGGTAAATAAACCTTTTAAGCATTTATGACGCTGGGCCATGACAAGCAGCACGGAGCCATCAATTATTCCGGCATCCACGACTGCTCCTTGATGGYGAGGGAGCCTCCTTGGCTGTGTTTCACCCTCCCTGGCAGGGAAGGACAAGGTTTTGGGCATTTCCCTTGCTAGGGAGCCTCTGAAACACGACACATTTCGGTCTGTCATGAAACCAGTCCCTTCCTCCATGTGCCTCTGAGTCACGTTGGTGACAGCRTTTATTTCAGGCTCACGACAAGGCAGCGGCGCAGCTCGGCGCCCAAGAGGACATCAATTAGAGCCAGGCTTTGTCCCAGTACCTGGAATTGCTTCTGTGCCGAGCGGAGCGATTGCCATGGTGAGGAGCATCTATCCATCCCTCTCTCCCAGCACAGGGGAGGGTGGAGAGGCTGCGACCTACTTTGATCACATCCCTGGCTGCTGTCATGAGGATGGCTGTCCCCAAGGGGGGGCCTGAGCGGTGCCTCCAGCTTTGGCAAAAGGAAAATGGGGAAATGGGGCTTCCCCTGACATCTCCCCACAGTTGCCAGTKTGAAGAGTGATGACAGAAGCAAACACACTCCAACTGGGAAAAGCCCAAATCCATTAACCCTGCTCCAGCCAAACTGGCAGATTTGGCTAATTCCTGGCAGGATGGAAGCAGCCAGGACAGCAGGCATTGTTCTGCCCACCCTTCCCAAAAACAGAGAGGCACTTTCTCAGACACTCAGAAATCTTATCAAAGCTCCATGGGAATCCCAGAATGGTTTGGGTTGGAAGGACCCTTAAATYTCATCCAGTCCCACCTCCTGCCAYRGGCAGGGACACCTTCCCCTATCCCAGGTTGCTCCAAGCCCCATCCAAYCTTGCCTTGGACACTTCCAGGGATGTGGCAGCCACAGCTTCTCTGGGCAACCTGTGTTTCCACATAAAACACTTCCTCATAAAAAATTTCTTCCTTGTATCTAGTTTGAATCTCTCCTCTYTCCATCTACCACATAATAAACCACATGAACTGGAAAACCACTCAAAGTGGTTCTGCAGTGGGTTCACAGGAAGGAAGTGGGARCGAGGGAAAGCAGAAGATCCTCTGRCTGGGACAYGGACGGGATGTGCAGCCAGGTTGGCACATCAGGTGCTCATTTATACAACSAGAAAACATAACAAGCCACAGTCCAAATTGCAACCCCAAAGGCCACATGGAGCAGGAAGAARCCCTGGGAATATTGTACAAAAGGAGAAGCTGAGCTTTCTAGGTCTTGCAGGGGCCATCTCTCRGTGGCCCCCACCAAGTGTATTTTGTTATCCCTCTCCTCCAAAGGAGGACAAAGACCTCGTCCAGCAAACTGGGTCGCTGCAGGGAGCAGCCCWGCAGTGCTCCCTTTGACTGATCCCAAAAATCAGCCTTGAAACTGGGGCTGATGAGCACAATTGGAGCAGAATTGGGCCAAGGGCCAGCAGGACGCAGCAGTGGTACGGGCAGCCAGGGTTTTGGTGACAGTGGCCACCACTGCAAGGTGCCACAGTCACTGTGTGGGATGCTGCCCTGTCCCCCATGCCTGAGGTTTTGTTCCTCTTGGCTAAAGGGGGCAACGGGGATAAAAACCATCCGGTGGTGCCCAGCAGCACACGCTGCAACAAAAGATCTCATTCATTTGAAAACAGCAACCTCAACAGCACTGAAATCGTCCTGCCGATACCGCTGGCAATTGTCAGCCTGCTCATCATCCTCACAGCTTCTTTTGCCAATAATGACTTTGCTTTCCTGACAGCACTGGGGTGTGTGTGTTATTTAGGTCAGCTGGGGGCTGTGGCAGCTTCTCCCCCGGTTTCACATCGGAGCTGTGTGGTTTCCTCGCCTGGATGCTGTGGGCAGGAGGTGCTGTTGGCTCCCTGGGGCTTTTCCCGAACAGCCTTTACAGATTTCTGGCACTGTGGCTCAGAGGGGGCATCAGCTCTGCCAGGCCAAGCTCGAYTCCCGTTATCAAACTTGGTCAGTTCTGCACACAGGGCCACTGGGTTGTGGGATTGATGCCATTTACAGCACATTCATTTATGGTGCCAGCTCACAAAATTAAACAGGACTGAGCGCAAGGTGAGAGGCCCTACCCAGCAATGACAAACAACACCTTTTCCAGGCAAAATCCCATCCAAGGTGGGTTTATTTCTTGGAAGCATCAGCTCCATGAGAGAAATCCGCAGAGGAGGGGTGTGGCATCAACGCAGGACTTGATGMCAGCCTGCAGCACGATGCCACCAACAGCATTGCTGGCACAGCCTCTGCAGGACTYGCTCCCACTGAGCCACCCCAGCCCTGGGTACCCCAACTCCCTGCAGCCCCCCCAGTCTGGCTGTGCACCTGGGTGCTGCTTTTCAGCTCAGGCAAACATCCCCAGACCCGCCAGATGGGAAGTTCAGAAGCTCCCTGGGCACCTGCCCAAGGGTGGGGAACGTGCCAGGGTGTGCCCAAGGCAATGCAGGAGGTTTGGAGGCAGTGCCAGTGGCTGATTGTGAATAAACTGAGGCAGGGAAAGATGCCAAAAACGTGGTGAGGGAGGAGAGAGCGGCACCGGATGCGAGTCTGGAGGACACAGAAGGTTGTCACGTCCCATGTCACACAGATAACAGTCACAAACTGCACGCAGTGCTGATAGTTCAAAAGTTCAGGAATTGTTTTCACAGATAAGAGCCTCTGTGATGGAAGTTCCTTGCTTCTTACAGAAAGAAACTGCTGTAATGAAAATAATCATTGCACCAAAGCAATTAAGGATGCTTGTCTTGTGCACTTGACTAAGCAGGTCCCCCCTGGTCACAGGTCACTCTGGATAGCAAGCCAAGGCTGATAATGAAGCTGGGAGCTGGGAAGCATCTAATTGCTTAATTGAGCACAAAGACATCCCTCCTYTTACACGCAAGGTATCCTTTTGGAGCTGAGAGCTGATGCTCTGGCACGAGAGCATCAGGGTGCTGGGCTGAGGAAAGGCCAAGCACAGATTCAGTGTGGGGAGGGTGGTGAAGCAGACACACATTCCAGCTCCCAAGTGCTGTCAGCCAAAATGCCAACCCGCTCCCAAAGTTCTGTCTGCTCTGCCCTCCCCTCCTCCGCCCCCAGCTTGGAGCCTTTCAAAAATTCAGCTGCAAAAAGGAAGCAGGCTTTTAAAACCAAAAGAAACATCCCCTGGGCTCTTCACCGCTCCCTGGCAGCCCCCACCCACGTAACAAGTCCCCAGAGCAGGAAGAGAGGAGTTGTAAAGGCTGGATTACAGCACTGGGGGTGGAAAGACCCCTGAGGCTGCCTTTTTGCTCGCTATCAGCAGCCCTCACGCTCTGCACGAGCAACCCTGGCTGCTGTGCAAGGATTGATTCYGAGGGGCTGAGGAGCAGAAAACCTGCTCCAGCACAAGTGATTCAGAGAATAAAATAAAGGGAAAAGCAAAATAGCAAGAGCAGGTGAGAAATGTCTCTGGCAGCATCAGTGGTCACTGAGATGACAGTGACAGTGTCACATGAAGCCCCTCTGGTCAGAGATCCCTGGGTTGGACCTGGCTGGCATGGCCATGCGAGGGTGAGGGGCAGCAGGAATCCTTCTCAGGCAGAAAAAGCTCTCCAGGCTGGAGAATGAGCCTTGGGCAACCCTGGAGGGCTCTCTGAGCTGGGAATGGAGGCAGTGAGTCTCTCAGGTGTGTTTGGGGACAACTCCAGCAGCTGCTGCCCTGATGGTGACCCTTAAAGGACCCCATACTTCCCACAATTAAGGGTTTGCCTCGCCTGAACAGCATCCAAAGCCTGCTGGCCATCACTCAGGCCAACTTCAGCTCCAAGGAAAGGGGAGGGAATAATGCAGCTGTATGGAAACATCTGGGCACAATAAATTTCCTAYTGCAATCCTCTGAAAGGCTTTGGCCCATCAGGTGGGCTGGCAGGTCACCTGTGTTCTGCTGGGGCTGAGCTGCCCTATTCTAGAGCCTCTCCTCCAAACCCAAAGTCCAAATGGGGCTCTTCCACCCCCTTGGATTAATCCTGCTGCTTCCTTTGGGAAAAGGAGCCAAACTCAGTGAGTCCCACAGCCCTGAGAGGCTCATGACAGCGCAGAGCCAGCCCTGGTAGGGCTCCCAGGGGTGAAGAGTGACACAGGGACAGCACACACGAGGCCATTTGGGCTCTCCCAGCAGCTCCCCCTCGGTGCCTTGTTGTGACCCTGAGTCTCGCTGACCCAGGAGCCAGCAGGACCGCAGGGAATGGAGATTGTCCCTCCACCAGCCAAGCTTTTAATTAAAGGCAAGGACATGGCTTTGCATTGCTTCCCAGACAACAAGTGACTGTAATTTGTGCAAGAGACCTGTCTAGACATTCCCCAGCAAAATCCAAGCCCGCTGTGTCACTAAGGCATCAGCAGCACACATACATGCCCTCTGCATTCGATTACAGCCTCATTCACTGCAAGCTTTCTTTCAGTTTCTGCCATCAGCAGTAGCTGGGACAAACACAAGGGCAAGGGCAGGTCCTGGTGTCATTTCCAGGAAAGCAGAGCTYTTAAATACATGTGCAAATTCTAACCTGAGAACTCTTCGCCTGGGAAATTACCCAGGGTACTAAACAACCCATTAGCTCTGACCCTGGTATAATTGAATCTGGGAATTTAGTGAGTCTGTCTCTCCTAACAGCGGTGGAGATAAAGCCTACCAGATCGCAGATAAATTGCTGGCATTGAGGAAATCTTCTGCAGTAAAACCTCTCTGCTGCACTRGGAACGTTAAAGGACATATTCCCATGGAGTATGGTGTATCAGTCATACTGTACTATTAGCCAGCACAGGTTGTGTTTAGAGATAGCAGATAAGAGCTTCAAGAGACTGTTTGTTAAGTGCACAGGTAATCCTGCTCTTCTGCACAGGAAACTGCGGCTTCTTAAAAGCAGCTTTAATTTTGTTTGTGATCTTCGCAAGAAAATTAAAAAATTCTGCCGTTACACTTGATCCATTCTGAGTAAACAGCCCTCCTGTCACCTGGGCTGCTCATAGGAGAGGGGAAAACATCCCCAGGGAGCAGAGCAAGGAAAACTGTGACACTTAACAACTGGTGAAACTGATGGGTTTGGCCATGCTGCTGCATTCCTCATCTTTATTACAAATCCTGGAATAAATCTGCCGCTGCCTGAAGTTACCCAGCCGTGGAAAAGCGATACATTGGGGCCGGATTTAACACCTCTGAGCAAACRTCCCTCTTTCCCCCCACTCTGCAGGGGCATTCCTCCCCATGGGCACACAGCAGCAGGATGAGCTCCTTACCAGTGGCTCCTCACACAGTTGAGCAGCAGGATCACAGCGCCCAGGCAGTAACAGGCAGCACGGGCAGAGCCGAACACTTGGCTGAGCGCTCGTGTTTTGTGCTCCCATCTGGCTACCTGGAGAGACAAGGCAAAACAAAGTGGGTGGTTGGGGTGCCTGGAACACGCTGCCCCAGGAGTACAAATCCCACAGCCTTGGCCTTGCACACTCAGGACGTTTTGTCTGAGTGGCTTTGTGTGAGAAACAAGCGGAGGCCACCGATGGGATGTGGCTGAACCAAGGCTGGGCATGGCAGCTCCTTCTCCCACCTCTGCCAGACCCTGCTTGCATTGCATGTGCCCCTGCACATGAGGTCAGCCAGTAGGATCAAAGCACAGCTTCATGGGGGAAAAACCTCCAAAAACACCCTACACATCAGTTTTGGGTTATATGAGGCTTGGGCATGTGTCCAACAAGGCTGAGAGCATTGCTAGGGCCGTCCCCTGACCAAAAATGAAAGGCCCCTGACATGGATCCTAATATTGCCCTCCTGGAAGGAAAACAAATCCCTGAGCAGGGGATGTAACACAGGGATGCTCAGCTCTCATTTTCTGGGCTGTGTCATCTCCCACATCCAGTCTCAGAGATTACACCTGGCAGGTACAACCCCTCCCTCTGCACATCCAGAAAAGTTTGCAAAGCCCTCCCTCGAGCTTCTCCAAGACAACACTTGCCAGCCTTGCTTCTACTTGTACCAGCTGAACCAGCTTAGCCTTCCTTAGCAGTGGCAGCCACTGAGGTTTAGCTGGCCCTCCTCACCCATCCCAGCCCAGGACTCACACAGCCACACACAGCACATCCACACATCCCCRGGGAGGCGTTACCATCCTCCACACCACACTTTTCCCTGGCTCCCACCTTCAGCTCCCTGTTCTGCAGATGTTGATGGGCCCCTGCCCAAACCTCCCCACAGATGAGGAGAGGACCTCTCACCCTGGGAGGCTGCTGCACGCAGCTGGCTGGAGCTGCTCCCAAAATTCGCAGGAGCAGATCCACCCAGCCACCAAATCCAAGCCCAGCACTCCCAGCTGATGAAAACCCTCACTGCTGCTTTGTTCTCTACCTTTCCTGCATCCCTCAGAAAGCCGTYGCTATATTTATCACCCCTCTTAGGCTCTGTTTTCAGGCGCCAAACCGGAGGTTTGGATCAGACATCAGACCCGAAATTCCAGCCAAGGACAGAGAGCACACCTGGGCAATGAAGCAGGAAGTGGGAGTCAGCAGAACATCTCGGCACCAATTTGCTTCTCAGACATGGCTGGCACTTGATTAGCTTCAAATGCACTTCACTCCCTCGCATGGAGCCTGGGCAGCTTTTGGGGGCACCTGCAACCCAGCTCTTCATCTGCTCTGAATGTATTTGGTAATTTATTGGCTCAATTTGAGCAGAAAAAGGCAGCTTTGCAGGTCTCGCTTTCTTCCCAGRCTGATGCAGAAGCACAAAGTGCTGCTGGTGGAGGGGGACTGCTGGCTTCAGGAGGGGGGAACGATGAAAACCTCTGATAAGCAGGGGCACTGATTTCACATGCTGAGAGCTGATTCAATTAGTTATGCAATGATTGCTCTGAAATTACAAATCCACTCATGACAGAGAGAGCTGCTTCACTGCCTTTTTCTGGCTGGTATAAATAGTTTGTATTCTAAATTGAATTTAAAACACCGTGCGTCACRCTGCTGCTAAAATCGGAGCCGCTGTTTGAATGCTGAGAGAGTGGAAAAAGAAATATAAGGTGCATTACCACCTTTGGAAAGTAAAAAGAAGTGACCACCAGGTGATTGAGTCACAGATGGAAAAATGCAGCCACGTGCCAGTTATCTCTACCAGCTTCCTAATTCCCTGGAAATTATTCTGGCGGCGTTTGCATGGATGGCAGCTCCCGGCTCACTCGGGGAGCTTTGAAGAGCATCTCAGCAGCAGCAGAGCCAGAGCTGAAGGGGAAGGCAGGGCTGCTGGGATCACAGGGAAGGGCTGGTGTGCCACTGGGAGCCATGGAGGTGGTCGCAGTGATCACCCTCACCTTTAGAAAGGCACATCTGGGCGGTGATGCCGGGATGAGGGGATGCGTTTCGGAGCCCTTCAGGCAGCAGTTGCTGCGGCTGTGAAGGGATTGCTCCCAGCACAGCCCAGTTCGTGCTGCCTCACACAGCTGGGACTGAGRTGCCAGCTCTTATTTAGCTGTCACAGCCTTCGGATGGGACCCCAGGCTCATTTTTGAGCCCACACAGGAGCCATCCTGAGCAGAGCGCCGGGCTGGAAGCAGCGGCACCCACCGGGCCCCGCGGCGATATTTCAGTAACAATTAATTAGTTCCGGTTCTGGTTCTATTCCTTGAACAACTAATTAGTTCTGGCTTGGTTCTAATTTTCTAATTTTAGTCATTTCCAGCTAATATTAGCACTCGATCGACCCACGGCTACGCAGCTGCCTTAATGGTTTTATAAAACCGTGAGCCGGCGCGTTATTATTTACTGCGTGACGGATGCAAAATGCTTCCAGCATCCTCCATGGCTGAGACCAGCAGATTCCCAGGAGGCTGCAGCCATTCCCAGTGTGCTGTCTGCCCTCCCAGCTGAGGCTGTGCTGACCAGGGGCAAGAAAAGCCCCACATCAGGGCTGTGTGTCCTGGAMAGGGAGGGAGGGAGAGGAGCATTTTTATTTTTCTTCCAACTCCAAGTTTGGAACTGGAGTTAATGCAAAGTTTCCTGACTTACCCAAGGGTCAAAGCAATAGAAAAAAAAATCCTTTTCCAAAGSTCCCAACACTCTGCTTTCACTTTAGGATACTTGGTGAGGGCTGCAAGTAATTTTTTTAATGTTTCCCCCACTGCTCGTTATTGAAATAAATCAACGAGCGGATGTGGCTGCAAAGCTGGGGATGCTCTTGGGTCCCATGTTCTGCCTTTGGCAGGCCGTTCCAGGGGCAGGCTCAGCTGCCTGATGTTCCCAGGGAATTGCTTCCTTCTAGACGTAAATTTGGGGCTGATTTCTACGCAACTGATCCGAGCCATTTCCCCAACCACTCGGGCAAGTGCGTAAACAAAAATGAAAGCACCAGGACACATCCCCAGTGCCTGCCCTGATGGAAAATGAAAATGCTCTGAGTTTCCTTTTCTTTTCCAGGCAGTCAAACCACGAGCCACCCTGAGAAAGGCCACAAAAATCCATTCAAAAAGCAATTTCATCTCACGAACCTGCCTCCGCAGTGATCAACGGGAAACGCTCTTTCCAGCTCTGTGTGCATGGCAGACCATGGCCTCTCATTAATATTTAGTATTTGTTTGAAGGAAATTGATTCTTTTTGTCTGCCATCCAGGGAAGCTGCCTTCTGAACATGCTACATTTTAATTGCTCAGCCCCAGCTCTGAATTGAAGCCTTTGTGCTGTTTCATGTGACTCCATTGCTATATCTGGCTCGTCCCAGAGATGGGCAACGAAACCAGATAGCCCAAAGGCTCAGGACAAAGGGACACCTTGCATCTCGATGTAAATCGAGTCATTTTATGTCCTCACATCGCCCCATCACCATGGTACCCAAAGGAAAATGTGCAGGAACTTGTGAATTTAACCTTGTGGCATTCCTGGGAGGCTGGGATGGATTAGCAGCTCCCTTCAAAACAAGGGAAACTGAGGCACTGGAGGGTTGAAGGGAGTGGGRTAGAGAGGCTGGGTCCACGTTCTGCAAAATCCTGGACCATCATCCACCTGGGGAGATGCTCTGCACATTTCTTGGGATGTTCTTGCCCTGAACAAACAGTTGGTATGAAGACATTCAGTGTCGAAATCTGGTTTGGAAAAAGGCATGAAAAAATTTGCCCTATCCCAGGAAGCAACCTGCTGAGGGCTCCAGAAGTCAGAAATTCCATGAAAAGTCACAAGGAAGAACAATGAGCTCTTCAGGGTACATTTGAGTCCTAGTCCCAATAGGATGCATATGCACAGGGCACGCCTGGATACAAGGATGATCCAGCCCCAACTCAATAAAAGCCTTCAGACAAAGCCAAACTGAGTAAATTATTTTTTATGGAATCATGGAGAGGTTTGGGTTGGAAGGRACCTTGAACTCATCTCATTCCACCCCCCTGCCTTGTCCAGCCTGGCCTTGGACACTCCCAGGGGTGAGGCAGCCACAGCTCCTCTGGGCAGCCTGAACCAGGGCCTCACCATCCTCACAGTAAAGAATTTCTTCCAACAGAATAAATTTCTCCCTCAGTCTGACCGTTCCTAGGCCAGCCATGGGGATTAGTTCTCCTRTGGGATTCTGGGGCAGGAGAATCCCTGACTCTGGGCTTAGGTGACTCCATGTGAGCCTCTCCCACCGGGAAAGACAAGACCCAGCTGGTTCATGACCTGCTGAAAGAGCAGGGAACCTGATATTACCCTCATTTCACCCACAGAGAGCAGARGCATCGAGCTGCTCCCATTACTAAAAATCAGTTTTTCCTTTCTGATTCCCTGTAATGCCTCATTAAAGCATAAGGACATTCTCTGCTCGCTGTCACTGCTCTGATGCTGGAATTGCTCACAGCTATTACATTTCTCTAACATCAGGGAGGAAGAAGATTTACCTGAGCACCCAGACCCTGTCTGTGGTGCTCCCAGGAGCAGGCAGGCAAGCAGAGCTGGCTGCAATGGAAATGCCAGCACTGGGGCTGGCTGACCTTTGCTAAATGCCAGAGGAGCCAGCTTTTCTGGCTGTCCCAGCTTTTCTGGCTGTCCCAAGAGGCCATGGAGGAAATGAGTGTGAAATGAACCTTATCCTTCCTAACTTGGCGCTGGAGCCCTGCTGCAGCCAGCAGCACTCAGTGCAGACAGCCCAGTGCCAAAGGGAAGCACCAACAGCACCAGGTGAACACTGTGGCCACGCTGAAAACCTGCATCGCTTTGTGTGAGTGTGTGTGTCCCTCCTAGGTGAGAAAAAATCTACATTTCCAGGAAGCTGCAAACCTTAGGAGGGGCTGGTCTTGGGGAGGATCCTGCAAGGCAGCCCCAAGAGGGGGGGCTATTTCTTCAGCTCACAGGACAACAATGAGCCCGTGGCACAGGAATGACACCGCTCCAGGCTGGCATGTGCCCATGT